CAGACAATCTCAAAAGCCAAACAGGTCCAGGAGGAAGATGAAAAAGAGGACTCTGAGTTGGTATAGACTTTTCTAAATTACTGGATTAATAATGGATTACAAATGGCTAATGTAGAATATAAATGGAGCAAATGCTCCACAAAAGAGAAGTGTTTCACCATTTAAAAAAACTTAAGATTTCATTTGCATATAAGAAACTCATATTAGAAAAAAGGACATAAAATATTTGATTTGCAAGAATTTGGGACAAGAATTTATTTCGGCAGGTCCAAAAAAAATTAATGGGGTTGTGTTACATATTAACCCACAATTAAAACCAAATTTAATATTGGCTGATGAACATGGTAGATTTGTTGGAGTAAAAGTCAAATTACAGGGAATTAAAACATTAATTTTGGGACTTTATGCTCCAAATGAAGATAAAGGAAATGTCTTATGGAAAAACGGATACATTTTTCTTATAAAAATTCATGTCTGATGGGAGATTGGAATGGATTGATATACCCACAATTGGATAAATTATCAGAGAAGGAAGCTAGAAAGAATCAGGGTAAATTACCTAAGACATTTTTTGATTTGATGGACAATTTATCTCTAGTGGATATATGGAGACCGAAAAATGTTAACTCTAAAGAATATACTTACTTTTCAGAAAGACACTAATTGTTCTCAAGGATAGATATGATTTGGATTTCAAAGACTTTGGCTGTTAATGCTTCTAACATTAACAACTAGGAGTCACTTACTAGTGAGATGGGAGGTGACCAAATTTGAAATATAAATAAATAAGTAATAATAAAATAAAATAAAGTAGAGATTTTACCAAAGACTTATGATCATAATCCAGTGAGTTGGACTTTTAAAAGAAAATCTAATTCATTCAGATGGAGACTAAATGAAACATTGCTGCAAAAGAGTTAGTGAAAGGTTGTAAACAAAAATTAATAGAATTTTTGAGAATAATCTAAATAAAGGTATGGACTTGAGAATGGTTTGGGATGCAGGTAAAGTTTTTATTAGAGGGTATTTCATATACCATAACATTGAGTTCAAAAAGAGGAATCAAGAGAAAATGCAAGCTATTTTGGAAGAGATAAAAAAGAAAGAAGATGAATTAAAGTTAACACCAAGCAAGTTAAATATCTCAAACCAAATCAAACTTCTACAGCAACAGCTATCTATTGAGTGAGAGAATTGGGGGAAAAAAAGATGAACTATGTTAAACAAAAAAACTTTGAATTTGCAAATAGGCCAGAGAGATGGTGTGCAAATTAAGAAAGGAAAAAGAAAAGAAAATGATTATGAAACTCCAAGAAGGTGATACTGTAATAACACATAATGAGACTATACAAAAAAAAATAATAAATCATCAGTATTATTCTAATTTATGTAAAAAGGCAGGAACTCTCTCTGGACAAAATAGATGACTACCTAAAAAAACAAAATTTGCCAAAACTTACAGATAACCAAAGACAGATTATGAATGGACCTATGACAATAATGAAG